CCCCTTTTTTGTCACAATTTATTGATTTAATTATAGTTTATTGGTTTTTGAATCATATTTATGTTGTCGTATAAATGTATCCCACTTTTAGCCCTATATCTCTATTCTTTAGCAATTTATATGCCATCACTTGAATGACTATAAATGTATTCATTTATCAAATTAAAAGTTTGCAATTATGTTTAAATGTATTGAAATTGATTGAGATTTGTTTAGAAATGATTTGTTAGAGTAGTAATAAATTGTTTAAACTTTATGATGATAAATATTTGTATAAATATTACATAACAGTAAATCATAGACAAGAAGACAAGTAATGATTAAAATACTTGTTAGTCGTGTTGAAGGCTATCTTCAGTTGTCAATTGAGTTTTAACTTTTGAGAACTATTTAAGGCATTGAATTCGTTGACAAAATCTTATTATTTGGTAGATTTCCACTTAAGAAACACTACTTTTAAGTATTATTTTTCAAAAGTTTTATTCATTGAAGAGATATTTAGTGCACGACTTAAGACAATGTCTCAAATCGTTGAATGCGTTCCCAATTTTTCAGAAGGAAGAGATCCACAGGTTTGAACCGTTACTGTAATTTACCATGATACACTTTTTTAACATATTAATTAAATAATCAAATAATTATTCTTAATTTATGGCGAATTTAAGCATATATCAAAAAACCTTTCTTAAAATAAATTTGTTTATAGAAACATTAATAAAATATAACAGTAATAAATCAAGTTTTAAAAATAATATTTAAATTGTATTAAATTGTAAATTGTAAAAATTACTTTAGAACTTATTTTAAGTTTATATTATAGTATTCTTTAAAATCGGTCGATTTTAATGTGTTGTGTGTTATGAACTTACAGTTAAATGCAAGCTTTATTAACAATAGATTAATTTACATTAATACTATTAATTACCTTATTTTAACAGTATATTGTTTTTTAACTTATAAAGGTAACTTACAAGTTAAAATATTTAAATGAGGGCAACATTATAGATAAATACTGTATATATTCTTAACTAACTAATAAATATTAATCAATATTTAAATTGAATTTCGTTGACAACACCAGAATATTACAAATATTTTACAAGTTTGCTTTTAATTTTATAAATTCCTATTATAATACAGGTATTTTAATACGAGTAAAAATTTTTTTTTTGTGATTAAATCAGTAATTTATGTGTTGACTAAAAATTTAAAATATAGAAATTCTTTAATCTCTAATCTGAAGAACGTTTTCAGAATATATAATAAACCATTCATTGGCTTATTTATCAATAGATCTTCAAATTCAAGGCTCTTTTTTCCCAAACCTTGACAATGAATTTGAAACTTCAGAAAGTTTTCTATCAATTGATGAAAATTTTGAACTGAGGGATGAAATTGCCATTAAATTTAATGTAACCTTTTTACATCACTTTTATATAACATTTTGCGTAACAGATAATCAATGCCATCGCAAATGCCATTCGGGAGACCGAAGGTGTCTCTCTATTGGATGTAGACCCGGGACAGTCCACTAATCGCACTGTCTATACATTTGTCGGCTCTCCCGATGCAGTAGTGGAGGGGGCGTTAAATG